GGGGGGGGGGGGGGGGGGGGGGGGAGGGGGGGGGGGGGGGGGGGGGGGGGGGGGGGGAGGGAAGGAGAGTTCCAGGTAGTCTGAGAAAGATTTCCATCCCCACAGAGAGGATAGATTCTTCTTTTGACATATTTCTGAAACTGATGTTGGAAACTATGCAGAGGTGTATTCATGCATAGTAACTCTATTCTCCAAGTCCCTGTAACATTAAGAAAATGAGAATCCCTTTCCAGCTGTGGTAGTGTTTCTCCCTCTTTTAGAAGGCTGGAGAAGTTCTGTAAGGATCCAGCCTCATACGTGACAAGTATTCCACAGATGGAGAGAGGGACACACTTATGTCCCACTGATAAGGTCATCAATCTTTCCTCTGCCAGCATCCAGCTTTCATAGATATAAAAGCTAAGAAGATGTTCAGAATATTCAAGAGGAACATTATATGCTCAAAACACCCCTTTGAAAGCCAGCTCATTGTTGTATCCTTAAAAAATGCAGGCATGTGCCTTTAGACCTAAATGAGCATCTATTGTAATCTGCATGCATCCATGTTTATGTCCAGATGACAGTTTTAAAATATTACAGCTGAACTTTCACAGAAAGTGGCGACTCTCATTTCCTGGCCAGGTGATTGTAGCCCCAGCATCTTCATCCACCTAAAGTGCCCCGAGCATCACACTTACAGTACACAATCACAGGCAGAAATCCACTAGTTTGCAGTAGTTTCTCTCCATCCAGCCAAAGAGACCGACTTAGATCAAACAGGCACCCATTTCTAACATAGACAAGCCCAACATGCATTAAAGAGCTATTCGAGAAGGAAATGAACAACACACCCATACGCACATTACTAATAGGGTAGAAGTCTGCAAAGTATGGGATGAACTCCATCCATGGAATTCCAAGCTACTACCATAAATCAACTACCCTTCCAAGAGACAAGATATTGTTGATAGCTGTAAAGTGATGAATGGTTTAAGATGATTGCTTGCTAATGCCTGCTCCTGTTGAACACTTGTGGTTGGAAATGGCTTTTTACAAGAACCCATTAAGGTAGAATGTCAGGAAGAGAATCTGCCATCCTGGGCAGAATTCTGACACCTATTTATTTATTTGATTTGTATGGCCACCCAGTTCACAAGAGAGACTCTGGGCAGGGTTGTCGAAAAAGGTGGAACTTCGATCACAGTGTTGCGGCCAGCATCTTAACTTTTTGCATCGTACCCTGCAGGCTCCCTTGACTTTGGGCAATTAATGGTTTACAGGAATCTGAAAATAAAGAATTAAAAATAAAATACAGTACAATATAAAGTAATATAATAAATCTTCAGAGCATCAAAACAACAGGATAATAGAATAACAGAAATCACAAGATAACAGGAGTAACAATAATAACAGATGCAGCTGAGCCCAACCAATGTATATCTCATTCATGATCTGGTCCAAAACTCAAGGGGAGAGCCAGAATGGAAGGGTTGGGTTCAAGCAGGTATGAAAAGTGAGTCTGAACTTGAAATGTGGCCACAAAAATTCATGCAGAGGATTACCTTTAGTTTATTATATGCACATATAGCACGTCGTCCAATGCTGCATGTGTGATTTCTCAAGATGAAGCTAGCTAATATCAGGAGCATGGAAATGGCCTGTAGATAGACCCTTCTGTATTTCCCCAACTGATGCCCTCCAGAATGTTTGGCTACAACTCCAATTATTTTAAACCTATATGCTAGCTGTGGATTATGGGAGATTAGTTCAACGTATCTGAAAGGCCTAAGATGGGAGAGGCTGAAATAGTAAATGTTGATGAAGTTAATTTCCCTTCCAGTTGTTTTCCCAAAGCTATGTGGAGGCCAGATAAGAAAATCAAGACAGCAGATTGTATTATACAACCAAGTTTTCACTTTTCTTTTCTTGGTGTTTGCTGTTTGACCTTTTTAGCATTTCCCCTCTCTTCTGTGCATAGTTAGTGTTGATGGTGGGGTGGGGAAATGGTTGGGATACTGATGATAAGTAGAATGGAGGAAGTTAACCAAGCCTTGTGAAATGGGTGGGGAATGCTGACCTAGATGGCTTCAGCTCCCATGTAAATTTGCCAATGGTGAGACTGTAGAAAAGGCTCTGGCTGAGATCTTCCCACGAGCATTCTTGCTATGTTCTTTGCATGGTGCAACTGCATGGTGGAAACAATAGACATGGAGTATATTCAAACAGCACTTGGGATCCTATGTACTTGGGATAATATGCTCCCCATCTTAACCTCCCTTTAGTAATAATCTGAAACTCTTCCGGGAATGTTCCCTTCACATCTTTGATCCCATCTGCCCATCTTAGCTGTTGTCTTCCTCTTCCCCTTTTCCTTCTCTCAACCTTGCCGAGCATCATCTTTTTTCCTAGCCCATCATCCTGTTGCATCATACAAGATTCAGTTCCATGTTTTCTGGCACTGGCACTCCTGCAACAGGACTGGGGAGCAATACTCTCTTTGTATCAGGAAACATATGTATCCTTCAGTTCTGAGTCTCGCCTGCCCTGCTTTGATTCCATTTTCTGAGCTTTCCAGTTCATGCTTCATCTCAAGGCGTGAAGGAAAGGAAACACACACAGCCAAATAAAGTTTGCTGCCCAGTGCCTCAAGCCCTGCAAATTGGCACACACTTCCCTGTTCCCCACCCAGTTTCTTCTGTGAAAGAAAAGGGGAAAAATATCTTGGTTAGACTGATGTGAGCATTCAGCTCAAATCAATACATGGTTGTAGGTATGCATGTATGTGCCAGTTTCAAAGGAACTTGGGAAAAAGTTGGTAAGGACTTATTCGTTCTAGGACTGGAACCCCCCAAAAGAAAAGGGCTTTACTTGTATCACCAATGTCTGGCGTTCATTCTGTCGGAGGAAGACCAAGGATTGGGGTTGGAGACCCTTTGTTACAAGAGCAAAAGTCATCCTTCTCCATATATTGCCAGCAAGCGCATTGAACTGCTTGCTTCTCTAGAATAGAATGCCTGCTATAGGTACGGTGACCATATTTTCTTGGGAAAAATAAAGGACAAGCCTGAAAAAGGGGCAAATCTGAAAAAGGTTCATAAGGATAAAACATTTTAATTGCTTAAAACTTTGCTTTACAAAGGAAAATTCAAGAGCAAAACCAAGAAAAACTTTATGAAAATGCCATGTTCTAATCAAAATATCTGAAATCAAACAGTAGGTGTGAATGTATTTTTTAAAAATTCAATCTCCATATTTTTCACATGAATGTGAAAGACTGTGGTGCAGTCCAATAAAAGTGCAAAAGTCCAAAAAAACAAAAAACCTTTATTTGTACAATAAAAGTTAAATGATCTAAATAAAGGACAAAAGTGAGTTTGTAAAAAATAAATAAATCTAAAGGACAGCTTTCTGAAATAAAAGACTGTCCTTTATAATAAAGGATGTATGGACACTCTAACTATATGGCATCTAAAGAGGGAGAGATTGGGGATTGGGGCCCTTGCCATAAACCATTCCCTGCCTCTTTGCACACACATGTGCATGTACACACAAGTCACCTGTTGCTAGTAACTCTACTCATTTTGCTAGATCCACCCTGGTTAATTGATATTGTTAAACCCTGCATAAGAGAATCACAGAACACTTTCCAAGATAGAAAATTACAAAACCTCAGAGCAATTTTTACAACCTACTCCATAGTCAACACAAGATAAAATATAGGTAGTCCTCATTCAGAGACTGCCTCGTTTAGCGACTGTTTGCAGTTACATTGGTGAGGGAAAAGTCACTTTGCAACCAATCCTCGCATTGACAACCTTCGCAGGTCTGTAAAGGAAAGGAAAGATGAAGTCAGATTGTAAGTACAGTCGCGGTTTCACTCAGCAACTGCTTCGTTTAATGACCGAGTTGCCAGTCCCAATTGTGGTCACAAAAGAAGGACTACCTATATTTATCTCTCAGTCACAGTGAAGTGAGTTTCTTTTCCAGGACATGAACACCCTGGAAAATCCTGCATGACCAGGATAAGGAGCCCCATGACTTCCCCCAGAGATCCTCAGGGGATCTCCCTCATTTGCAGAAGGGATGGGTCCGGCCCCTTCTTGAAAGAGGAAGGAGTAGGGAGGAAGAAATACCAGTATATACTCTGTTATTGCTTTGGGCAGTTGGTGATTGTGACTATCACTTCTCTGGTATTTGTTCATTCAGCCACAACTCTATTTGCCCCTTTAGCTATAGGACAGAGTGGAGATGGACTGTCCCAAATAAGTGGAAGGTAGTGGGTGGAGACATCAATTAGCCCCTGGATAAGGGCTGGGGTTTGGACTGAAAGGACAAATAGAAGTGTTGCATATCTGAAGAAAAGAGGATGGAGTTGGAGCTTACATTCCCCCCAAAGCAGAAACTAAGCATCTGCCAGAACATTGGGCAACATGATTCCTCTTTGGTAAGTGGATGTCTTCTCTTTTTTCTGTGTGTTTGTGTACCCAGAACAGGTAGTTGCTGTGGCTGGCGGAGTGGTGGGTGGACTTCTTCTGCTGGTCCTTCTGGGGATAGCAGCATACCTTTTTTGGAAGAGTAAACATCTCAAGGCCTCTTATGAAGAACTGACTGATCCTGTCACCCCAGTTTTTCAGGATCCAGATGTTGCTCAATCAACTTCAGTTCCTTCTCAAAATGCCAGGTAAAAATGTCCTTTCTGCTGGCCATCACCTACCTTCAGGGACAGAGATGCGGAGGCTCTCTGCACCATCACATTCTCTGGGAGCTTCTTCCTCTGCCAGGGATGGGGAATCCAGACAAGTCTCAAGTGGATCATCTCAGTAGGTCAGGCTTTGGGAAGGAAAATCAGCCCTGGCAATCCAAGACCCCTCTGAACACTGGGCTGGAGACAGGAAGTCACTTATCCTTCATTCCTCTCTACCAAGTAGCAAAAGAAATACAGAAAATACAAATAAATAGACTGCAGACATTTAAGACCCTTAACTGTGAAACAAAGGATTCCAAAAGCATACGATTCTTCGATAAATGCAACGAGTAGCAGACAGTTTGCTCTTTTCCAGATCATTGAACAGTCCCTGTCTGAATAATAACAGTGTGAATAATAAAATGACTGTGTATAACTTAAAAGCACGCCACATTAAGACGGGAGGTGGTTTCAACAGATTTTTCCTTTGCAAGAACTGTGGAAAACTCTTATTTCTAATTATCAGCTAATTGGACATAAAAGATGCTCCTTTTGAACACCAAGAAAGTGAACAAGGAGGGAGGGAAAAGAAGTGCGCAAACTGGGAAGGAAAACTCGAGTTTGTATCAGCCCCGGGGCAGAATTTCCACAAACAACCTACCTATATAAAGCTCCCAACCATTTTTCCAAACCCTTTGCGTTGATCCACCGTCAGTGTGATGCTGGAGCATCTTTGACAGCAGTGCATTGTCATTAAAATATATAAGCAAACAAAATGCAAGTTTTCGGAGCATGCTGTCTGTTCTTATAATTAAATTGAAGGCCCCTGCAGTAGTTGAAGGGAAATTAAACCAAGATGGGCCAAGTTTCAGAATTTACTTGTCATTGGATGATACTCAAAGCTTTGAGTAATTTAGCTATGATTTGAGGGTTCTTTGGGCAATCGTGGTTAAGGCTGGATTTCCATTCGAAACCATTTTTCCATAGAAAAATGTAGTTCTCCTGGGTTCCTACCTCCTTTTTTCAAATTAAGTCAAAGCCAAGAAGAAAAGAAAGCTTTGTCTTCCCCCTCTCTCTCTTTCCATCTTACTGGTTTAAACTTTGTTTCTCACTTTTATTCATTTATCATATTTTTTGCATTTCTAATGAAAGGCAGGCAGTTGATTTCCTGCTCTCAGAGCGGAGCCCTGCTCTTATGAACAGAGTTGCCGTGTTTTTATCGGCAGCTGTTGCCTAAAATGGCTCAGGGTGTCCTCATCTTGGAATGATGTCACAAGGAAGTCCTTTTATCCTTCTCTCTTAATTTTATTTTATCTATTTGGTCTTGTTTTCTCAGATCTGTACGGTGGTTTTATTGCTCTTATTTTGTTGAGCCTGCTTTTAGGTGCTGTTTTTTTTAACTGTTGCAACTACTTTGCTGGTCACTGACTGTAAATAAGTGCAATTATAGAAGAAAAGGTAAACGCAACCCTAGAAAAGTTCTGGAAAGCAATGAGCATGATCCAATTAATGTCAAAGACCTTTTTAAGTTCCTTCGATTTCAGTGGGGAGAATTGAAGCTCCAATCCCTTCCATTTCAGCTGGAAGGATTCCAGATGCTCAACCTCGCCTGCATTCTTTTCAGAGCATTTAGATTCCTGATATCTCTTTCTTTTCTTAATGTAACTCAATGCTGTGTTTGTCTTTGGACAGAGCAAAAAGCGTTCCTTTCATTGTTCCACCCAAATTTCATCGACAAGCATGGACTGATATGACAAATGGAGAACAGGTCCAAGAGGAGAACGACCTCTATGTTACCCCAGATTCTGGGCCTCGATCCTCTTTCCATTCTTTAGGTAGGTTGGCACTATTTAGGTGGGTAAAATTTCAGGAACTGAGTCTGCCCAGCAATCCTACTTCAGTATTATGTTTAATGAAAATTGCTATTGTGTGGCTGTTTAAATAAAATACTTTCCTGTTTAAATAAAATAGTTTCCTGTGAGTCTGTACAAACAGATGTATCTGTTAGAGACAGAGGAGGAGAATTACTGAAGTAATTAAGGTCCGAAGCCTATTTTATGGTATGATGGTGTAATCTGGTTTAAAATCATTTCCTGTATTTCCAGTGTAACTCAAAATACTGTACGTGAGCATTTGTTCCTGCCCTGGATTGGCTTCATAACTACAGGATCCCACAGACATTGTCTTTGGGTGACAATTAAGCCTATGATGGTTGAGCAGGAAACGCACTGGGCCTGAGGTTTCAACTAATGCTCTGAAACTCTGCATAATCTGGGGAGAATAATTTCCCATTGGTGGGAACTTTACCTCACAACAACTCCCAACTCTTGGACTGATAAATCTAAGAGGCCCTGTAGCTTCGCACTATTGTTTCCATGCTGGTTTGATAAAATGAGAAATGTTCCTTGCTGGCATGGTGCATTGCTGGTTTTGCAGCCACCCCACTGCATAAGAAATACTCATGGTGTAGAAGGCACTATAACAAGAAATTTGGAATATGGGCATGCTACCATCAGAGGGTATCTATGTCTTGATGAGATATCTGAGTGCAAAGCAGTAAGTTTAAGGTGATGTCTTTAATTAAAGGACTGAAGGACAGCATGCAATTGTCTTGTCTCCATATCACTTCTTCTCCTAAATTCTTTCATTTAGATTTAAGTAAATTGCACTTGAGGTCTGCTGTGAAGTTTGTGAGGTCTGGATTTATACTGCTAGTGTAAATAATTGTGCAGAAAAGAGGAACCAGATTTTCCCAGAAACCTGTACCAGAAATGCAGCAAACTGTCTTGTCTGTTCACAATGAAAATTTCTTTTTATTTCTTGCAAATATGTGAGTATAGTTTTTAGTTTCATATTTATTTTGGTCATTGACCAGTACAATACATAAATATCGTACAATATTATAAAACACTAGAACCAATATAGGTAGCATATATGAGTTCATGAAGACACACAGGTTGCTCGAAAAATGTCAGCTTAATCCCAAGATTTTTTGTGACTTTTCAGGTCACAGTGACTGCTGTGCAATTCTAAGTGAGGTCATCAAAAATCTATATTAAACATGTTTAAGTGATGAAAAAAAGGTTAAATAAAACATTTTAAATGGCTGGGATTCTATGTGATAACACAGAGATAATGTGTGTTTTATGTATTATGAGATTTGGCTGCTTTTAATTAATTAACTCCTAATTTAATTAAATTCCATTGTCCATTGGAGTTGGATGACTATACAATTTAAATAAAGACATACAATTTTCATTTTAGGATTCATTGATTATCTTCTACCGATGTATGAACTAACTCCACTGAACCATATTACATTTACGAGGTGGTAGGAAGTAACATGCGGGTTCTGTCTTGGAGGCTTGATCCAGATCACCCTCAGGTGCAAATTAATGTGTCATCATCAAGTGAAATGTGTGGACGATCCACAGCGAATGCTGTAGGAACAATCAGATTTTAAATACGGTTTGCCTCTCTCATGTTTTTAACTCAGTGAGGTTGGATGTTTCCTTTCTCTCCTGAAGCTGGAGCATACCTTATAGGAACCATTAATCCAGAGCTCTACCGGTTTCCTGAAGACAAGAGCGAGACAGACTTCCCAGAGGGAAATATTGGCCGGCTTTGGTTCTCAGTGGAATATGAGAAGGAGTCGGAACGGCTCCTTGTGTCCTTGATTAAAGCTCGAAAGCTGCAGCCTCCCTCCACTTCCTGCAACCCCTTGGTGAAGATCTACCTCCTTCCTGATGAGAGACGTTACTTGCAGTCTAAAACAAAACACAAGAATCTCAATCCTCAGTTTGATGAGAATTTTGTTTTCCAGGTAAGCAAGCTGAGGATGAACTAGATCACTATCTTCTGGCTTTGGAAAGTTGACAGCCCAAAAATATCTACCCTAGCCTGGTGGACCTTCATTTTTAAAGAGAAATTTGTTTGGGAGGGGGTGATCAGGCAATTGGTGAGAAGGAGACAGTTTACACCAAGACCAACTAATTTTTGTGAAGCTCGGTCTAGTCCAGGCCATTTTGAGGGCAGTTCAATCTGACTCTGAAATAGTTAGATCTCATTCAAAGCTCAGATTCAGGGAAACAAAGTTGTAGGGAAAGCACAAACTGCTAGCAGTTCTGTTGTTTTTTTAACATTTTGAAAAAGAAAGTTCTTTAAGATCCAGAACTTTAGGAGAAGATGAAGCATGGCACATTTTGTAGAAATTAAGGTGAGGTTATACAGCTATAATATTTTTTTTTTTTTTTTTTTTAAGCTGAGCTTGTCAGGAAGAAGATTGGCAGTCTTAAACTTCCCTTCCCAGGAGTTCCCTCACCTTGGCCCTGCTCTGGCTTAGTGGCTTGGTAGTTCCCACTGCCATCTCCAATCTTCCAGGGCCCCCATTCCCTAACTTGGCTGTGTGAGAGAGATAGGGGCCTTACAACCACTGATGTCTTTCTGTCATGGGGGTCAAAATGTTAAAGTAGAAATAATTCTAATCATGCTAGCTCCTGGCCATGTTCTATACAGGAGCACGGCTAGAGGTTTCAATTCTTTTTCCTCCTCACCTCACCTTGGAAGATAGAGCCATGACAGCAGAGGGAACTGGGCTGGAGCATCTCTCTGTCTACATGACAGAGTGTATCTGTCCCTTGTGAAGATGTGGATTCTATGTCTTCCCTGTCTCACGTGTAAGCTGGCCAGGTGTGAATGTCAGGTTCTCAGCCAGCCAGTCACAACAGCCCCAAAACTCAAGTCCTTATCACCTCAAATGCTGAGACTGGAGCGACCAACAATGGTCTGATTGAAAGATCATTTTCATTCGAGGGCAGACCATTTCATTGTTGGATCCAATGCTCCTTTATCCTTCATGAAACCATGAAAAGGTCCCCTATGGAGAAACTGACCAAGACTGGAGCTTTATGTATTGCCAGAATTAAACTGGAGAGGTTCTGAGCCATCTGCTCTGCCCTGAGCATTCAGATTATCTTGGTCTGCCTTGTGTTCGGAACTGTGGAGAAATCCAGCCCAACTGCTTATCCTTCTCTGCTTCCTACTATCTAGATTTCCAGCAGTGTTTTATTTCAAAAGACACTGAAGTTCTGCGTCTACCATGTTGACAAACAGAAGAAGCACATTCTCCTGGGCCAAGTTATCTTCCCCCTGAAGAATGAAACCTTAGCTGAGGATGGGAAAGTTGTTGTCTGGAGAGATTTGGAACCAGATACCCTGGAGGCAAGCGATGAATGAAACCTTAAGTTCATTAGATATATAGCCACATGGCTTTGTTTTTGTTTTTTGAGAACAAGTTTGTAAGCAGTGAATTTGATGGATCCTGACATACTCTCTATGTTGGCTAGTATTCACACATTATCTAACTCCCTGTGTGATTGTTTTTAACTTGGTGCGATCTGTGAAATTGTTCGTTTTGTGGGAAACCTTTTAGTGTCATCTTAGCTCAGGGGTCATAGAGAGTGGGGCAGTGATGACAAAAATTGGTTGAGGCTGTTTTGAGGCTGTCTTTTTCCTTTGATTTGGTGGGACATTTTGAAGCAAGTTCCCTGCTTTCTAAGCTTTATTAAGTCCATGCTAAGAGCTTCAAGCATCAAGTGTGTCCTGTCTCGAAATGCTGAGTATTTGTACTGTTCCACACATTTTTAACAATAGTGGAGATATCTGGGGACAGAAATAAGGGAAGTGAGGATCAAGTTAAGTCTTGAAACCTCAAACAAGATACCTCTGACTTATGTTCAACTAAACCATTATGGGTTCTTCAAGAAACCCTGGCTTAGCATTATGTGTGAGTACAATCAGCATCAGATGGGACGAGCTAAGAAAATCTTACTGACCTTCTTCCCTCTTCTCAGTCCAACAGGGGAAATTTGCTGAGGAAAAGATGTAGGATAACCTTTCCCATTTCAAACTGACTAACATTCTCCTCCTTCACCACAGTGCTGACCACTATCTTCCCTCCCCCCAACCTCCACCCCACGTCGGGGGTGGAAAAGGATTCAATTTAATGAGAGATAAGAAGTATAGTTCATTACTGCCTCATTAGCTATGTCATTTATAGTCCAGATGTCCCACTAATTGGAGTGAGCAAGATGTCCAGTAGTGGAGGAAATAATATTTGTTCAAGACGTCTGACCCATGTCTTCTTCTGCCTCCTCCAAGCCACCTTCTGAACATGGCGACCTCCAATTCTCCCTCAGCTACAACGACTACCTGGCCCGTCTCACGGTGGTGGTGCTGAGAGCTCGAGGTTTAAAACTCCAGAATGAAAGAAATGCTCTTGGTCAGTATGGGGAGATACACAGAGTTGTTTTGCTTTGTTTCTTTTCTCCAGCTAAGTATAGTTTGTAGGAATAATTTTGTCTTGCTTATGACTGCATTCTGAATAATGAACCAGCTGACGACAACCTCTGTTCTTCACCTGGAAGGTCAAAATTTGAGTAAACTGGCACCTTCATTCTTCATCCATGATAGGAATGCAGGCAAAAATTAAATGTTTGAATGTGTTTTTCACATCTCAGTTTGGGTCTAAATTGCTACCCTATCTGGGTTGCAAAAATCCAGATCGCTTTATGGCAGGGTTGAGATAGATCTCTTGTTTCTCTGTGTGGCCATCCAGTGTTCATTCAGAGTTTTGCAGCAGCCTACACTAAAAGAAATACCTCCATGTATTTTAGCCCCAAATTCCTGTTTCAAAAACTGTTTATCCTCAATATCAAGAAATTCTATTCCCAAAGATTTTACTTGGAACTCAGTGTCGATGTCGAATGTCCTCTAAATATTCTTAAGACATTTCAATGTTTGCTTAATATTCTATCTGTGTTTGACATCTCATGATTTTACATTGTAGTATTTGACATTTGCTATTTACCACTTGGTATGTAAACTTACCTACCCCAGTCTATTAAGAAGTTTACCAACAGTGATTTTTGAGGGCACTATTAATCATTCACATTTCACACACCCCTACGTCTCTCTTTCCCATGGCAGCCCAGGTAGGCAATGTACTGAGGCATTATAGGGAATGGAGATGCAGGTTGTGGTCAGAAAAGTCAAGCTGGTCAATGCAGTGGTGCAATCAAGCTCTGTCTGTTTTTATGTGTGTTGCATGCGTGATGCAGATTAAAAATAGGCAGAGCATTGATCACATCATTGTGGCCACCAGCTTGACTTTTTTTTAACCGTACCCTGCAGTCAGTGAGGGGTGGGGGTGGGGTGGGGAATCTGTACTCACATCCCCTATCTTGGCACCTACATGCTTATGCTGCAAACAGAAGACCTCAGCTGCAGGTGACCCTCCCAGATCCATTTTCATGGCCTTCTGAGAGCTTCTCCAAGGTCACACGGTTGGAATGTTGTGAGTCAACAAATCACTGCTTTTTAGTGCCATGACTTTTAGGTATTTGCTTTCTTTTACAGTCATAATGAGGGTCCCTAGGAGGTTTAACACATCTGTTTTGCAGGGACCCTACCAAAACAAAACAAGTCAACCATTTTAGCTCCAGAGACATTTCTCCCATGTTCCTATAGCATTTGGACGCTGAAAAAAAGAATTGAAAAGTTGTGTATTCCTGCCCCTGTATATACCTGAGGTGAGAAAGGATCACACTCATAGTAGCTGACTGAATTTAGATCATATAGAATAGCATTGGAAGGAGTCTGATATCAAAACTGTGTTTTAACTTTCTCATAAGGAATCGAGAGATGATAAACTCAAAGCATTCAACTTTATGGATGTTCAAGCAGCAAATGTTGAGTGTTGGCCAAAGTTTGTTTTAGACATATCCATATCTACTTCCCAACAAAATCAAAATTCCCACTTATCCATGCTTCTAGTTGCCTGAAAATTTGGAGCATTGTTGCAGATGCAGCCCATTAAATTAACTGAAATTATATTTTAAATGGTAGTCTTCCAAAGCACAATTTTCAGAGGATGCATTTGAATATTGTTTTCTCCTCAGTATTTCCAACCTCATCCTTTTGTTCCAGGTGTGTTTGTCAGAGTGTCACTAATGCACCATAATCAGTTCATCAAAAGCAAAAGGACCACAGCAGTCATTGGATCCTCCAATCCATTATACAATGAGACTTTTAGCTTCAGGGTTGACCAGCTGGACCTTGATGCAACCAGTCTGAGCTTGTCTGTTCTCCAAGGAGATGGTAAGCAGCCTATGATGTTAGTTTCAAGAGTCCTGACGTCTTACATGAAGTTCTCATTTTTCAAGAGAGAGGCTAACACTAATGTCGGAAACAATGTTCTGAATTGAGATTGGCCTTGATATGATCTAGCAGGCTGTTCTTCCATTCACAGTTCCTAGTTTGCACTGCAGGATGGCCGGATGATTCTTGTGGTCCCTTCCATTTCTATAGTTCTTTGATTCATTACTAGAAATCATGAAACACTTTTCTTCTTCCCACAAATTAATCTTGCACTGGACTAATAGGTGCCCCTCCCTTGAAATGTGCCTGAAGATATTGGAAATAATTCTATGCTGAGTAGCTGACTAATGTTTCAAATCCCTGATCAGCCATGAAGATCTTGGGATGATCTGAGGTCACTTATTGCCTCTTCAGGGTTGTTGGGAGGGAGGGGGAAAAGAGATGATTAGATTAGGTCTTCTCACTTATGGTCAGAAACCAAGATGAGGCAGAGGGAAAGCATCAGGCAAATGGCCTTCAGCTTACAAAGAACTGTGGTTTGCTGCTGCGTCTCTCCTGCTCTCTGTTCAGGAAAAATTCACTAGATATTATTTCTAGTGGAGAAGAAGCATGTTATCTTGCATGCTTCATCTGCCCTGTGTCAAGATCTCCAAGCTGGTTTCTGGAAAAATTATGGAACACAAAAGGCCCACCAGCTCAGGCCGAAGTAGCCACTGCAGGGAGCTGTATCTAGCTACTTGGAAAGGGGACCACATTCTTCAGACTTTTAAGTTGTTTTTGCTTTTATACTAAAAGGAAGGAGAAGAGGCCATTGTGAGAATCTGGATCTTGATGCTAATGCTGTGGTACTGTGAACTTCTTCTCTGGGTTGGAAAAGGAAGGATCCCATTTTGCTTAACCTCAAGTGGCAAAACACACTGGCTCCACCCCCATAGACAGCTTCCTGTGCATTA